AAGGAAAACACAAATTCGCGGCAAATCCTTTCTGAACGAGCAAGTAACCTATCCGCAACTTCTAATTCTTCAGTAAAAGTACTTTGCCTCAACTCTTCGTAGGGAAGTTCTGCAATAAATCGTTTGAATTCATCGCGCAAAATGCATGTAAAATCATCCGCCATGCTAGTTTGCGTGACCAGCGTCGCGGGTGTAACGCTTTGCCAAGCAACTGCCGCTGCACCCTTCAGGATTGCATGACAAGTTTTATATATCGTGAAAAGTTTTATATTTTTCAACAAGTTTTTTTTTTTGTAACAAGTTTTAATTGTGCACTATAACCTTAATACTAAAATGAAGAAGTTTTATTCATAAAGCAAAATGTTTTATATATTTATTGTAAAGGTTTACACATGGTAAGAAGTATTTTTGATACAAACGGCATTCCATACGTAATGACCGAACGGCCGCGGCCGTCGCTTTTTCTTGCCGATAATTAATAAAACTTTTGAAGGCATTTGTTTAGCTCTTGCGGGGAAATTTCTGTAAAAGGAGTTGGGAATTCTTTTCTATTTAAAATCATTCTGTAAAACAAAGATTATTAAATTTAGTTTTAAGGTTATTTATGAACAAGTCAACTAAATAAAGTAACGCAAGACTTAAGCTTAATTTGCATTTGTAAACAAAAAACTTTTTCACCGGTTCTATCGATAAATTCGAGACAAAAAGACAAAGCTTTACCTGTTAAAACTTCCAAACCGAACTTCGTCACCTTCTTCGTGTATTTCGGGAACAGCTTGCTTGATTAGTTGTGAAATTTCTTTGTTTGTTACGGCAGCAAACAGGGGAGGCATTTTGCTCGCAACTTAACGCCAGTTTGGCGTCGTTCGCTCGAAGGAACTGGAGGTGAATCAGTGAATAGTGCTATATATTCACTGATTGAGTAGCCAATCAGAGCGCGCGAAAAGCACTATCCACTGTTTTAGTATTTATAAAATAACTAAGATAGTACGCGCGCTCTGATTAGCCGAGAGGCGTGTTTGCATGAGAGAATGTAAACATGGTTGTGACGTCAAGATGTGTTGCTCTTCGCGTGCTAATCACGCAAGCACGAATTTTAAAAAGGTTTTGAGTTGAAAACCTCGACAAGTTTACATTATTTAGCCATTTCCTCGTCGGCTGAAACTTGGAAAATCTTCAGAAACATGCTGTGTCAATTTTTGTTCGCTGGAGCTGACATTTTAAGCGAGAAAAACCCGTATTTTGGAAAGCATGTTTTTTTGCAAAAGAAGGACAGATTACGCGTACAAGTTTCGTGTACAAGACTTCGCGACTGGTATGAATTTATCTTTTAATCAGTGCTCTAAACAAGAGAGTTTTGCTCCTTTCCTCAGGAAAGTTATTTTATAAAAGCAATAGAAAACTTATTCCCTGTGTTTGCATATCCCGATATAAACACGAGAGGGGTTGGGAGAATTCTCAACAGTTATGTATCGTGTTTATATTAGGCTATGCAAACACGGAAAACGTTTTCTACTGCTTAAATACTAAATATAAATAGTACATTGAACGGAAGTATGTTTTCTGAGATGTCCGCATAAAAGTTGACATCCATCTGATCCTTTAAGCTAACAACAACTATTAGCTCTCTTTGTTATAACTTATAAAGACTTTTATAAACTAACTAAGATAGTACGCGCGCTCTGATTGGCTGAGAGGAGTGTTTGCGTGAGAGTATGTAAACATACTAATCACGCAAGCACGAATTTGAAAATGTTTTCAAGTTCAAAACTCGACAAGTTTACTTTATTTACCCAGTCCTTCGTCGGCTGAAAATCGTTACAAAGAAAGTGTCATTTTTTTTTTCGCTTAAGCTGACATTTTAGGCGAGAAAAGTCCGTATTTTGGAAATGCATCTTTTGGCAAAACAAGAACTGATTGCGCGTCACTTCGTGGACAAGACTTTGCGACTGGTAAGAATTTCTCTTTTAATCAGTGCCATACAAAGAGTTTTGCGTTTTTTCTCGGGAAATTTATTTTATAAAAGCAATAGAAAACTTTTTTCCTGTGTTTGCATAGCCTGATATAAACACTCGAGGCGTTGGGAGAATTTTCGATAGTTATGCAAACCGTTGACTTCGTCTCGGGTTTGAATAATTGTCTCGAATTCTCCCAACCCTTCTCGTGTTTATATCAGGCTATGCGAACACGGAAAACGTTTTCCATTACTTAATTATCTGAGCGAAAAAAAAACGCGAAACGAAAAGCGTCAGGTGAGTGATCCATTGGCGAACAATTTCGGACATCATGGGCGCCGCGCATGCGAAACGCGCCACTTTTTGGACTTAGCTTTCAAAACGCTGTGAATAAAATTACAAAGAAATGTATGAGAATTTGCCTTACCGTGTTAAAAATTGCCCTCTAGCTCCTCAAGGGCAAGTTTAATCTCGGGTCCACAAATCTAGTTCTTAAAGTGCATGTATACTTTTGCCTTTGCGCAGTGTAGTTTCCATATATACAGTGAACAGAAGATTCCTAACGTGGTGTAAAATTTGTTCTATTGTGCAGGTAACAAAGTTTGTTTTAAGCTTATAAATGAGGTCCGTAAGCCTTTCTTCGCTGTTCCCAGCCAATGTAAAATACGAGAAAAATGGGTTGAAAGAAGTCTTCTTGTGACATGTGGAGATACCGACAAAATGAAAGGTTTATAAATTTTTTCCCCGAAGTAAACATCGGCCACCATGTTGAAAGTGTTCCGTTTATGTTACTCTTACATAAACAGTTTGTAGTTCACTTGAAAGTCCGCTGTACGGCTTGACAAGAAGCTTGGAACAGTATTTATTCGCATTGTGTGACTTCGCGTGACAAACTGATGTGACATTACGGCCGTTGATTGTGCAAAAATGTAATAACAAGAAAACTTTGGGTTTTTGTCTTCTTTCGAATTTGTTTTTGTTTGAGTATGTGTAAAATAATATTTTTTAGTTGCTTTGTGGTAATTTCTAATGTTTTTACTAGATTTATTAATGATAGTTTGAGCCTACGCATCGAACCGCTGACTGTACGAAATTGTTCGCCATGATTGGCGAAATGAGCCGGAGATTACGTGGAAAGTTGATATTTCGAAAGACTTAATACTTTGTACACTGCTGCACATTTTTACAGACTTTAGTTGAAAATACCAAACAGAAAAATCTAACAAATAGTACAAATAGTCCTGGTATGCATGGAGTAATATGCAAATGATTCACAACACCCAACACCTGTCATAAGTCTTCCGTCCCAGATTTAGATTTACAGACACTCAATGATCATGGCATTTACACAATAGATGAAACTAAAGAGTTATCACCTACTGCCAAGCTTCAATTATCTGCCCTTTACCTAAGCACAAAAAGCCTATTAAATCAACATTTCAAGCAAATAAATAGTCTTCTAGATTCTATTTCTATCATAGAGTGTTCTGAAACATGAGACTGATTTTGGTAGTTTCCAAATTCCAGATGATCGCACATTTTCAACAGGAGGTGGCGTTGCTTTATATATCAAATAGAGGATATTACATGCCTAGGCGTCTATACGAATTTTCGATTGTTCAACTCGATATCTCACGAGTGAGCGTACTTCACTGGATGCCAATTTTTCGTCACAGGAAAAAACCTGGTATTTCTTCGGTGTCTATAAATCAATAAAATAATAAATCAAAATATTCCTTCTGATTGAGAATCCCATCTGGGGCTCAGATTTTTTCTGTGTCCTCTTACGGTTGATTCTTTACATCCCCCTTTATTTCCTTTATGATTGAGAAATGATCTTAAAATTAATTCAATTGAAAGTTTATGGATAGAAATCAATAATGATTTGATTGTAGGCGTCATTTATAAGCCGCCAAGTGTTTGAAACTCAGAATTTCTAGATAAATTAGAGACATCGCCTCTTAACATAATATTTTTCTTTGGAGAAAATGCATTATTATGGGTGACTCTAGCCTGAAATAACAGCCGATATTTCGCGACGCTACCACTGGTTTCCCCGCCAAAATGACGTCTGAGAAACGAGCGCAGAAATTCCATACTGATGACGCGTCACTACCCAGATCTGGGTAGTGCTTCTGATCGATTGAATCAAATTTCCCACCCAGCATGACCAATCAGAAGCACTACCCAGATCTGGGTAGTGACGCGTCATCAGTATGGAATTTCTTCGCTCGTTTCTCAGACTTCATTTGGCGGGGAAACCAGCCTATCCTGTTTTCTCAGGCTAGGATGACGTCAATATCGACTCTTGAAAATGATTATTTCTAAGGAATATCTTAATGAAGTTCAAGATTTCGACTAGCTGAGTTTTGAAACAACTCGTATCACTGAGCGTTCCCAGAGCTGTATCGATCGCATTTTAATCAATTATTCAACTTGCTCTAGTGGTAATTGCAGACCACCTGCCAGTATTTACTATTCTATATGATTCAAAATGAACTCCTTTTCCTGTTGTCGTTGAATTATAGAGATTTTCGGGGTTTTGATAGCGAGAAATTCAAAACAGGCCTCAAAAAAGAAAATTGGGATTCCATATTTACATGTGATGACGTAAATGAAAGTTTCACCAGGTTTCTCCATATTTACAATATAATCAGCAATGAACATGCACCACTCACAACAGCTAAGAAAAAACACAAAACATATATAAACCTTGTATAACTTCAGGGTTAAAAAAATCTATGATGGTCAGGGGAAAATTTTACAAAACAAGAAGTGGCTGACAACTCGTAGATCTGACTGCAAATATATCGTCCTTTTAATCTTCAAAGGAAGCTTCCATTAGATCTGATTAGATAGTATGAAGCTCGCCAGCGTATTGTAGTTCCAATATTCAAACAAGGTTCGCGGCTTTTATGTGCTATCTCAATAATTTCGACTATTTAAAAATGTATTTTCAATCAACTCATGACCTATTTTATCAGTGACAACCTGCTTTCTCCGTGTCAATACGGCAAGGCTTTAGACGAGGAAATTCAACATGCGACTGTTTAATTGATCTTACCGAAGAAATTACTACAGTTTTTTGATCAGGGAAATTATGTGGTGTCTTCGTTCTTGGATTTAAGTAAAGCTTTCGTTGCTGTTAACCACCACAGTTTATTAAACAAGGGCAGATGTTATAAACTACCAGACAGTGAAATAAGCTGGTTTAGGTCTTAGCCAACAGTTGAATTCCACATGTACCATTCCGCAGCCGAAACCATTGATGGTGAGTAGATGCCGTAAAAACTCTGAAGCCTTTTTCTATGCTGTGTTGTCACATTTAACAGCCACCTTGATCAGCAGGTGATACAGAAATTCTACAGCCCCGTGATCTAAATCTGAATAAATAATGCAGCTCCCTTGAATTTATGCCGCAGAAATCCTGCAGCTCCCTTGATCCGATGCAGATTAATTCTCTTATGGCCCTGCACCCCCTGAACTGTTGCAATGATCTGCAGCTCCCTTGAATAAATTCCCGCCTGGATCGATGATTTATATAAAACCAGGGCACCCAATTCATAAAATATAGTTCGAAACCACTTTAAACAGCAGCCATTGCTGAACGTATTTTATATATGTATTTAAACGGTAAATATAAATGAATAAATTCCGACGTGATTTATATACCAGGGGCACCCAAAGAGAATATAGTTCGAAACCACTTTAAACAGAGCATTGCTGAACGTATTTTAGTATTTAAACGGTAGATATAGGCATATTTTTATCCCCTAAAGATTTTTCATCTGTTCGGATTTCCTAGCTGAAAGTCTAGTGATCCGAAATTTATATGGATCAAAACTTACTTATTCGAAAATTTCAGCTAGAAAAAAGGCTCCCGTAGATTCTAGATGACCTTTTTGGGGTAAAAATCCGTTAAAAATGGGCAAATATACCACTTTTTAGAAGTTCGAAAATCCTAGGAGAGGCAGGCAAGCAAGAAATTTTCCAACAAATGTTCCGAAAATTCTAGATCTGAAATCGTCTTCCGAACAGATATTTTCCGACAACGGACGTTGGGTGCCCCTGATATACGTATGATACTAATTATTTAAGATCCTTTAGCTCACACTATGTAAATTGCAACGTCGTGTGCTTGTTCCATTTCTCTGTCATGCATAATGTCCTTAGATAACAGCAACAAAAAATTTGTAAGTGCGTTTTTGCTTGTTTACACTAACGCCGGTGTTTAAACCAGTCTCAGACATACTGGTGAAAAATCACGCTCACAAACGTGGGTATTTAACTTGTTTATTGTATCAAGGATTCTACAAATTGAAAAGTGTAACTCATATATTTTGGCTGAAGTTCACAATGAACGGCAGTTTTTAACAAGAAAAGCTTCACAATCTTACTTGCTGTTCATGTAATTCCTTTGGTGTGTTTAAGTTTCTGAGGGTATTTTAATTCCGTAATATCTCCACACGTAGCATCTCTAATCCTGGAAGTCGTTATCAACTTACGAAGGTTTTCTGCACTTGATTATTTGAAGGTATTCGTTTCTGAAAGCCTTATTCATGAGACCGTAAATCAACGGATTCGTCGCAGCAGTTGAACAAAATAGATAATCATACATTAGATGTGTCCAGAAAGGCAGGAAAACATCACAAACATACAACGCTGCGATAATAGATAAAGGAAGCCAAATTAGGCAAAAAACAAGGACGACTACAAACACCATTTTAGTGGAATTGATTTCTTCAATCCGACTAGAGTAGTTGTTTCCAGCTCGATGGCGACTTTGTATTTGTGTTCGTAGTGTCGGCGCTACCAAAATAACATGCCGACGAACTGCGCGATACACTTTGAAATAACAAAATATCACTATGGTTAGTGAAGCTATTATAAAAGTCATGAAAATTGGCAGCGCGACTGTTTTCTTGGTTTTCTGGTCAGAGAAATCTGGGGTGCAGAACGTGTGGGGACCAAATCGAAACCGCGCGCCAATAATAAACGTTATCCCTACAGAAGCGAGGGCAGACAAGAAAAGGGATGACACTGCTGTTATTATAGCAAAGCGTTTTGTGAACATATTTCTGTAGCGTACAGGATGCAAAATGCGATAATATCGATTAAAAGCAGTCGCTGCGACTATCGTTAATGAAAAACAACCCCATATTTGCATCACGTGACCTTGGAACTGGCATGTGATGTCACCGTACAACCATTTTCCTTTCATGATTACAACTAAAGAAAGCGGCATACAAGTGACAGAAACAAACAAATCAGATATCGACAAAGATAGTATGTACCAGTTTGTGATTTTTCGAAGAGCAGTGTTTCTGCAGATAGCCAGGATCACAAAAAAGTTTCCCACTATTGCAACGATGTTGATAAAAAGGAATAAAACTGATTCTGAAACAACAGAAAAAAGGTTCCGGCTTAACAGTTCTGTCGTTAAGGATGCTTCATATGACATATTGAGAAGTAGACTTCCTTGTTGCTGTATGATTTGATCGATCGAAGATTATTTCTTACTTGGTTCTTCAAATGTCTAGAGTGCTTTTCTTATCGTCTTGAACTAAGATTCAGAATCAAATTACCGTCCTTGCCCAAGCAGGCTCTTTTAATTGTTTCGGTAGGAATATTCCAAGGTAAGACTCCGATGAAACTTCCTTATTGTGCCTCCGCATGTGCGAACTTGAGTATTTCTGTCCTTTCTGTCTAATTTGAAGCCCAGAAGACTAATATATCATGAAAAACTCAAATCTTGCTTGGATCATTAAAATCTCACTCAGGCTTGACTTGCCAAGAGAACGTCTCTGCTACAGCTGCTTATTCTCAGTAACTTTTCTGTAATCACTCCTTCAAACAGTCTTGACTATCACCAAAGGAGAGCTAACGTGACAAACTTTGTGCGAAGTATAAAATCACCAAGCACACTTGTCTGAAGGGCAACGTGCAAGTTATTGGAGAACCACAAAACGATGTCTGATTCAAAAACTACACCAAACATTTTGGACAAGATTGCCCATTCGGATGCATTCATATTGTATTTCTGCTCTGAAAGTAAAATCCGATGTCCAATATTGATATCAATATATCGACAATTTGAACAATTTAGACGTCACAGTTTACCTTTCTCTGGTCAGAGATGTCATAAGGGATTTTTAATTCATAATCTTAAACACCGTCTTTGTCATGTTGATTAGTTTTGACAGGTAGCTCACAAATTAAATTGAAATTCTCAGTTTTATTTTAATGGTGCAATATAAAACATAACCAAAAGAAGTTAATTCTTTTCGCAAAGCTTAAAAACCTGGCCGACAATAGCACAGGTGGAAACTAACTCTCCAATTCATTGAAGGAAGTTTGAAGTTAGGAAATGGTTTAAGTACAATATTATGAATTGTGACCGAGAAAAAATGCTGACAGTGTATCATTCTAAAAGTGGTCCACGGTCAATGAATTTTACGCGAAAGTTCGATATAGGGACTAACTTATAAGCAAAAAACAGTTGTCTCGAAAACTTAAGTTTCACCTTTTCTGTCCACCTGCGGTCTTTTTATATTTAGGATATGAAGTAATGAAGTCGAGCCATTACAACGTATCGGATGCAAGAGTGTACAAATTCACGATTTATCACTATTGTTATCTATCATAAAAGGAAAGGAAGGAGAAAAAAAGGGACATAAGAGAAAAAGGAAAGAAGAGAAAAAGAAAAGGAGCGAATGCTCGAAAAGAGTTTAGAGTATATATAGTAAATAAACGGAGTTGTGACGGATTCTGCAGAAACATCTGTTTTGACACATATAGCTATCGTAACAATGATGTTGTTTATATAAAGCCTTTGATATGTTCAATAAAAATATTTAAAATTGCAGGAAGTTTACGTATTTTCTATTTTTTAAAAAGCCACTTTTTCAGTAACTCGATATTATGTTTCCTGGGGGTAAAATATTTTGCAATCATAAATAATAAAGCGAAGTACTAAATGGCATATCGTGGCTTGTGTTATTTTCAATTAAAGAATCGCAGTCATTGCATTTCTTGCCTCTGAGGTCTGCTATTAATTAAGAAAAAGAAACAGGAAATGGGCTTTTTACCCAGACGAGTGCGGAACACAAGCAGATTCAATATTAATTAAAAATTCAGTATCGAAATAATACAGATTACTTTTATTAATTTTAAACGACGGAAACGTTGAGACGTGACTCGCAGTAGAATTTTGCTTCGAGATTCTAAAGCCAATTATACATTAACAATCACGACAGGACAAAAATAAGAGGCATTTTAAACATTAGCTGCGAGAATAATTGGTACTATTTTGAACAAAAAAATGAATATTTTGAGGCGGAAATTCTCTTAGTTGCGGAAATCGAAAATAAGAGCAATATCGTTTGATACTGAAGATTTTCCACTGTGCATTCTAGCTTTTTATAGAGAGCTGATACCACCTTCTTCGCTAAATAAAATAAGGCCCCCCTCTCTAATAAGCCCTATAGATTCATTGGTCTACAGAACAGTAAATCGTCTATTACCTCCCCCCCCCCCAGGGCTTATTTATTTCAAACAGGCTTAGGGGGAGGGGAGTACAAGAAGTTGGAGGTCATGCAGCCGAGCATCAAAAACAAATCCGAACTTCCAACACGTGAATAAACCATCGCAGATCAGTCCAAATGAAGTTTTGCAGTCATGATTGATTTATACAATCTATCATTTATTAGTGAAGAATAGTTAGGTTGAGAGGAGGGGTCCGGGATTATTAAATAGCGCGTTTATTTGAGAGAGGGGGCTTAATAGAGGATTTACGGTAATCACGAGATGTAAGAAAGGCAAGGCGATAGCCTTATGACCGATATCTTTTCGAACTTGATGAAGGGACAAGGGGATAAAGGTGAAAAATATTATAAGAATAATGTCTGGCATCAGTTCGCGCTTCGCAAAAAAAAAAAAGAAAGGACGAAGAAGCTAACATATAAAAAAACAAAATGATAAAGAAGAACACAAGAAAGGTAATCTTTGGAAACAAAAAAGGAATCCAATCACTTCTGCTTGTGCAATCCCGGAATCATGGGTTTTGGAATCCTTTTTTCAGCTCCTGAAGGGAACCAGGAATCAGTCACGGTAACAATGAATAAAAACCCGGAATCTAAGTTCCACTGACAGGTAATTTGAAATCCAATATACCTGGAATCCGGAATCCACCTCACTAGGAGCGTGGAATCCAGAATCCAAGAGTGTCTTTTATTACCTTACGTGGGGCCAGTGGCGCATCCAGAGGAGGGCCCGCCTCTCGCTTATTTTTGGACCAAACTGAGGCCCGAAGCGCCGAAACAAAATTTTTGAGACGAGGTCCCCCTTCTATCCGGGTGTGGATGACCCCACCCCCTCCCCGCTTATCTGAAGGTCTGAATCCGCCATTGGGGGTAATACAATTCCATGTGACTCTCTCAATTTTCTTTACATAAAGTATGAAAGAAGTCTTGTAATACAAATAATACATTCAAGACATTTTCTTCCTTAATTGTTTTCAACATTTAATGCTTTTTAAGATTTTCATCCATGAAATAACTTTAATTTTAATTACTATAATTACCATATTTAAAATCTGAATTGTTTCCTCATTTCCATCCTTATAACCTTCCTGGTTGAATTATTTCTTGGACACTGTAAATCAATTATGCTCTTTGAATTGTTCTTTTCCCTATCACTTTTCCTTATCTTTTTCCCTATCACTGCCTCTTTCCAACGCAATGAAACTTATGTAGCATCTCCCTCAATTACACCAGTACTTCTGCCGCCACAAACTTTGCCTCATTGAATGCTTAAAGGCGGACTTGTAGACTGGGTAACTGTGGTGTCAGCCTGCAAGAAAGCTCTCCATTTATGGCCAGCGAAGCGAGCCGCGAGAAAACGCCCGAGTAAGTCTCCTTTCGCTTGCTGCTCTCGTCTGACTTGTTGCGACTCTCCCAAACGGCATACTATTGCACAGGCATCCCAAGCTCACGTTACATGGGTGGAATGCAATTTCTATCGTCGCTAGCGAGTCGTTATCGCGTTACAAGCGATCGTTGAGACGTTGTTCATGAGATATAAAATACTGAGGTCTGCGAACGATAAATGTTGTTATGTTTGACCTTTTGATCAATAAACTAAATAAAGAATGTTCATCTTTGTTGTATTTGTGTGTTTCGGTGTTAATTCATCGATAACTCCTTTCATATGTGAAGTAACAGGGGTAACGCAATCTAGCCAAAAAGAGGACTAAATCGATGAATTCATTCCGAAACACAAAGAAATACAACAGAGATGAACATTCTTTATTTGGTTGCAAGAGAGTCAAAAGGTAAAATATGATGATATTTATTGTTCGCAGACCTCAGTATTTTATTTCTCATACAACGTCTCAATGATCGCTTGTAATGCGATACCGACTCGCTCGCGTCAAATGGTAATAGTAACGTGAGCTTGGGACGCCTTTGACTACTGCGGTGTCTGATTCCATTACTCGATGGTTTGTCCCTTATCTCATTAAATGACCATGTAAACTTCATTTTTAATGATATCCATGGTGAATTGGTCCCCTCTGTTCGACGCAATCTTTCCTTTCAAACCATACATGTAGTTAGCCCCCTAGCCTCTACTGGTTACAGTTAAACGGAGGTTCTTAGTTCCCTACAGTTACACAGGAGTACCCACCGATAACGCGAAAAATGTCTTTTGAATGTCAGCAATGTATATGGTAGACGGTGACAACTTTGTTTGAGTCATAATTCGACCATCACCTTGATGGACTGGACTAAGAAATACAGTGAAAAGAAGACATGTCCAACTTAAGGGTCAATCCAACTCCTTCGGGATTTGATCGAAAATTCGCGCGTTTTAGCTTCACTCCTGTGTTGTTAGTGGGCGTCTAAATCACCAGGTACGAAAAACGTTTATACTTGTAACTCCCCAAATATTCTGGTAACTAAGTTGTCGGTTACCCGCGTGTTGAGGCAGACACTTCAATACAGACAAGCCACGCTTTTCCATAGCACCGATCTTCTCTCCTTTAAATTTCAACTATTCGGGGCGTTAACCTGAGTATAGTTGGCTGGAAAAGTCGTTCTTTCTACTTAGGATTTCTGTTCTATCCATCGACAGGTGCAATCTTGTTGTTTCTCCTGCTCATTTCCATCTCGGATCGTTCCGGTCTGTAGGACTGGGCCTCTGGAGTTGAGCTCGTGGTCGCTGGCGGTCTTCCTATCCTGAACAAATTCCAAGTTTGCCTTTTAACGTTTTGTAGTTTTTTATTCCATACTGCTCTTATCTAGAACAAGAATGGAGACGAATGTAAATCGGATGGGCGAATTGAAGAAGGTTAGCGGAATGCCCTAACTGGGAATTTTTCGAAATTTACCTCTGTTGTTTGTACCTGTATATTAGGTACGTACAACGCAGGAGATACATAGTTTACAAAGATGTGATTTTTTCATTTAGAAGTAGTTTCTTCTCCCTAGCATTTCGTTCCATAGCGAACAAGAGCGAGTAAATGCGAAAACTGATCAAAATATACTGGAATACAACACTTATTTTTATGACGGTTTTGCGAGGAACTCAATAATCCTTGGTGGAAAACTGGTATGGGTGTGCACCACTCCTCTAATTGTACCCAATAACCCATGTCTTCATTACATTGATAGATGATTGTAAACAAAGTTGAATTGAAAATTCGAGTGTTTTTCCCCGTGAAATCCAAGTTGTTGAACTTACCTCAGAGTTTCTTATACAGTGTAAAAGAAAGATCAGCAATCCCTGAAATAACCAAACGACGGGAGAAGATGAAAATGAGTACAGCATTGTGAAAGGATTGAACCAAAGAGTCATTTTATAAGTAGTTTGAGTATGATCGTCGACTTAATTGACCAATTAGATTAATAACTAGTCAAGAGTTTAATACCATCAACTGACGTGATACAACCCACTTTGACTCTGAAGATGACTACCGCACAGCAGGTTGTCGAAACGTTAGTCACTGTCAACAACAGTCATATTCATGAGACTACGTTCACCTGGACGATCAAACTCAACCTACACACTATTGCTAGTTAAGTTCCTCTGTTCGTTCGATTCAGAAACCTTTCTTGAAGACTCGTTCCCTTTTGAGAGAATATTTAAGTTTTATCTTAAGATCCACAAATCACAGAACAAAGAAAAGAAAAGGAATTCGTTTCAGGGCAAGCATTCATCCTACAAAGGAGACTCCATGCATGAGTTCAGGGAAAATGAGTGCAGCTTTGGACGCAGCGATTTTTGAGATCATTTACGTGGACAAGAGAGAGCTTTGATTATTAGATGGTATCCATCGGAAACCACTAACCAATGAAATCTACGAAAAAGTTCCGAGCAATCTTTATGTACTAAGCTTGTACCCATCAGTCTCGTAGGTATTAAAGCGGCAAACATTTAAACGCCAGCAAAATAGAGTGTGTTATAAAACTATATTCCTTTGTTTTCGTAGTACATTATTCTTGTTAGACTCGGGGTTAAAATTGAAACGTAAACAGCATACTGTGAAGAAACTTGGGTACTTAAAAGGGAGACCGTTTATTGCATTTAGTCAAAAATGAGGAGTAACTATGTCAAATTTATTTCTTCACGCACCTGTAGTGTGTTAAGCACCGTAAAAACATATTGTGAAACAAGTCCAGCCTTGGAGAGACTCAGCAAACCAAACAACCATGTGACTCCCAAAAGAGGAAATAACACAATACAAGCTTTTACAGTTGTCCTAATAAAGAGAAACTGGCTAAATTAATAATGCTTTAGTCAAAAGATCAAAGTATAAATCTTGCGTGATCTACCCGAACGACGTGCTAAACGCATTTTCTGCAGACATCCCTGATTCAACGTTTATCTATCAGTATTAATGAAAATATAATTTCACAAAATCTGTGGCTCTAAACATGAAATTAAAGGCGTGACTAGTCGCCATCTTTGATTTAAAAGGGGAGGAGGAAACCTTTTCCGGTGACTCGCGCGTGCACTAAAACCATTATAAAGCCCATCATCCCCGTAAACATAAAGTGGTGTTCTGCAAGGCCCTTTTTAAAAAACAAAAGAAAGAAAAACAGACTGACTGAGTCACTAACTTTAGTGCATGAAACTTCCTCGACCGCGTGCTTGGCATAGTAACCATTTCCTTAACGACCCCACAAAACACCATGACGTTTATCTAAAGAAAAATGACAAATCAATCAAATCATGAGAAGCGGATTACAGAAAAATGTAATGTTGTACATGTGTGACACATTTCACTAGCACATGATAAAAGTTGATAAGTTGATAAGACTTTTTTTCTAATGATGACCTGTCTTTATATCATCCCCATCATTTCCGTCCGAAAAATTTTTAGTTTGCGCGCTCGCTCCCCTGTCCAACAGTTTTGGTCCTCCGGGCTTTTTCCGTGACAATATTGAGGCAATATATAGTGACAAGCTGCCTCTTAAGTATGATCTTAGTAAATTGGTTGAATAAATGCACGTATACTCAAGATGTTCTTTTGTTTGGATTTGATATTGGTCGGATAAATTCGAAATCAACTGACAGTTGGTATGAGCCTTTGATAGGTACTTACAGTAGTTATCAATATCACTGGTGCTGCAAATGACCATATATAGTAATTTTCTGTCGATAACCAGCACCTAATAAGATAAAAAAATTCTCGTCTTATAAACGATGACAGGTCCTTAAATCACCGCAAATGCTAATGAGAAATGTAATAAAGAAACCAGACATCCAGACTCTTACATAAGGGGAAAACGATCCTCACAATCATGCACGCAGTTTAATGTTTTCAGGTTTTTCCTCACCAGCCTCCAATTTAAACCCATGTAAGGGCCTCCTTTCTCTAAGGAAATTCTATTCACTTGTCCTCCTCTCTCGACGAACCTTCATCCGGTTTTATTGCACCACGATACTAGTGCCTGTATTTTGAGTTTCTGTCTTATCAGCGCTAGTTGCAAGGCATGAGAAAATCTTACCATCTACTGGCTTTGTATTGATAAATTCCTTCCTT